TACAACGTTGGCATCCCCAATAGTAATATAAATACAAAAATTGGGTAACATGCTCAATTTCACTTCAAATTTGTCTCATTTTCCCCAAAAGATAAATCTCACACCAACCGAATAATTTCAAAGATGCCACGATGACATAAAAAAAAATACACATAACGACTGTAAAACTAGAACCTGTTTTATCACTTAGCATTCAGTAAAATGTTAACATCAGCAGCAGGGGGCAGGTGAATTTTATTGTCGATGCACTCATCACTGCAGGGGGCGAAGTTGGCGAATCTCCCGAAAACCTGTTGCTCTCCTTTGAGGGAATTGACCTCATGGCCACCTTCACTAAGTGCTGTGGAGCACATGAGCTCCTTGACTCGGACCTGTCAGGAAGTGTTGTGAAGAATGTTACCGAGAGGGAAGAGTGTGAATTGATTGCCCTCCGACTGCTGCCAAAGCGCGCTCAGTGTGCCATCCTGTTTTGAGAACGTGTGTGTTTCGGGCCTGTCATGCCCCTATATGTGGAGATAGGGGGGGACATGGCTAATTAAACGGAGTAAAGGCTGTTGAAAGGGGCTGGACACTGCCAGCACGAGAGGACTTGACATCCATGTGTTCTTGTTTCGAGACAGAGAGGGGGCAAGCGTGACCGAAGCAGGAGGCCCAGGTTGCAGCACCCCGCCTGGCTGCCAGAGCTCAGTCATAGGGCAAGGAATTGTGGGGAAGAGGAGGAGGTGGTAAACGGTAATGGAGGAGGGTGGTGTTAATATTAACTGCAATTCCAGACTTTCTACTAGCAGTCTCTCCTTTTTTTTTCTCCATTTCCCCAGCCAGCCCAGAGCTCTAAACCCTAACACCCTATCCCACTGCTGCACACACACAACTCACATTCCAAGAGGCAGGGATGGGAGCGTGACAATCGGGAAACAACGGCTATTAGTTACAGAAAATGCATTATGGCGTGGGCCCGGGCAGCAGAGCGGAGGAGAGGAAGTGGAGGGATTACGCCGGGCTTGGACAAGCGGAGCACAGGGCTATTTCCTCCCCCTTGCTGTAGTAAACTGTTCAGATTTACAAGACCTCAAGGGACACGGGTACCCCATCCTCGTCCCGTCAAACCTAGACAGCTCCTGATTTAAAAATAATCCTAAATCAGCGCATGACAGTTGTCAGAAGGGCATAAGGAGGTCAGGAGGAGTGAAGACTGGGAGTTTTAGATAAGAGATAAACCTTCTGCAAATTCAAAGATCCAATCAGTATACTGCAAAGTGCCCCATTATTGGCTTAAATATGACACTACACATGTATTGATTTGCTGAGCTTTGAATCTAAAACGATGTGTGTAACCAACATGTTTTATAAATTCTTAGGCGTTATAAACATTGTTCTAGTGATGGATTTTGATTTACGGCAGGTCACTTATGAGTCCACTTTCCATGAGCGAACAACAACTTTGTTCTACCTATTTTTGGAATGAACAGGTTCATGGAAATTAGGTGTTTTAAAAAACCTATTCAACTCTTCTCCACCTGGTTTGTATTAGTCATCGATAATGAGGTTTTAAAGAACCCATGGCCTCTTTATTTGTTACAAATAGTAAATATAAGACGGGGTAATAGCTCATTGTTACTGTTCTCAACTCATACAGCATATTCAAGTTATCGTTAAGTTCATGGAAAGAGGCAGTAACATTTACAAGTCTGGCAGTGGAAGTATGTAGGGCATGCACATCCCAAAAGCTTCAACATGTGAGATCCAATAACAAACTGAAGGGAAGTATCAGACAAAAGATCTGCAAACTGTACTGACAGCTCCCAGCCAGAGCTTCATTTTGATGTAACTGGCATCTTTGTCAGGCATTGTCAAAACATAATTTAGAAAATTGAAATGCCTGAAAAATATCCAAATTCGATGATCATACATATCCCGAGGTTAGCCAAAGTTATTTGGAAGAAAAATACAGGCAAAGCAGCAAAGTATATTATCATCACAGACTACAGACTTTTTGATTATACCTCACTTGCCAATATTTTTCTTCTCAAATTGAGGATTATTACTGACATTTTGGGTGCAATCTGTAAGGTTTACCTCTGATTAAAGGAGTTTAGATTTACAACCTGTTTGATTCAGGGACTGTTCGTGTTCATGTTCTAGCAATGGGCCAGAATTCCCAGACAGCAAGTTCAATGCTATCATAACATATATAGAGAACATCTTCTAAAGTAGGACAGCTTGCTTGCAATAAATCATCATTACCTATGAAGGGGCCAGAAGCCTAACAAAAGGTTGGGAAGCACTACTTCAAAATATCATGAAATCCCTACAAACCGCATGGAGCCCCCAGTCTGTCTCTTCTTCTCTGACAGTGAACATATTTCTCCCTGTAGTATTCTTAGCAGTAAATAATAGCACTTCCCTATCTCTCCTTTTCCAGCTACTGCTCCGTTGATGTATGCTATTTTACTGTGGCAGCATCACTTCAAACCGGATGCGATCCGGCTGCCTCTCCTGTGATCACTGCAGGCCTCGGAAGACCCCTTCAACAGAAACAGGAAGCAGTTCATAGCGCGGGTCATGACCCCTCTCATTCAGCCCCATGAGTGAAGCAGGGCCCACCCCGGCGAAACACATGAAAGTTCCGGTCCCATCAACAAGGTGTGGAAGGATATTAGGGGGTGAAGAGGGAGAGGAGACTTCTCTCTCTGTCTGCATGCACAAGTGTATGCATGTGTGTGTCTAAAGAAGAGAGGTGCACATATGTCCAGCAGTAGCCGTGTAACATTATTACACACAAGGCCCATGAGGCGCACCTAAACACAACTACAGCTGCATCTAATACAAGGCTGCATCCACAGGAGGAAACTACTGTGTGATGAACAAATATAAACGGTCCCTTTGGACTTCTGATCACAGGCGCTGGGGCGTAACAAAGGCTATAACTTCAGGGCGGACAGGCATGCAAGTATGTTTCCAGCTTTCCCCAATGGGTTAGCAGAAACTACTGCTATCTTAAAACTTGATGATCATTTTTTGCAGTATTTCCTTTTAGAGTGACAGCTTTCTCTACTTTAAAATAAGGTATTAGTTTTTGATGATGTGTAGAAAGATATTATAGAGTGCAACTTGAAAGCCTGTGTCTGAAATAACTCCTCTGTTCACTATTTATAAGTTACTGACACATAGTTTACTGTTTAAGTGAACATTACATTGAAATATGGTTACTTTTGGATCATCAGCATTTTGGCCATTTACTGTGATAATTGAATTCTTGCAGCTAATTCATGTAAAAGATTATATTGAATTTTTGACTCTCAAATAAAGATAGGATAAGATGCTTTATTTTACATTATGGTATAGAATAAAGGTTAAAAAAGTAAATATATATAAAACATAATATATAAAAATTATAAATATTATAATAATTAAACATACAATTATAAAAACACGTAAATAAATGATAAATAAATGAGGTACAGGAAAATCAGTGCACTATAAAGAAAATAGGAAATGCTTTTCGAAAAGGCTCGATTCAAATGCTTTGATGCAACTTAACTCCATGTGATTAAATAACACAACTATTTGTAAACATGCAACACACTGTAACATGAAGACTATCGCATGTAACATGTCTAGGACTTATTTAAAAACGTCATACATGATGTGTGTAGTGAGGTAATATGATTCAAGGCAAGTCCCTGAAGTGTCACAACATGACTGGACTTGCCCTGACTTGTCTGGACGGCGGACAAACAGAGAAGAGGGAAGTAACAATAAATTGAATCAAACTGAATTTAAAGATAATTATGAGGCCAATCTTAATTTACAATGGCTTTGAGTCTATTAGAGAAACAAAAAGAGAAAAGAAAAAGAAAAAGAAAAAAGAGATTAAAGTGCACAAAAGGCAGTTGATTTGTCTTTACTTTGCTGAAAAAGTATTTACTGCAAAAAGCTTCACACTGCCAATTCCTGATGTTTATGGAGAGTTGGCAGCCAGTTTAGTCTGTAATGGCTGCAGTTTTAAAAGTAGGAGTACACCCCTCCGTCAAAATGTATATAAAATAAAATGTACTCCAAGTTTAATGTCCAAGGCACTACAAGTACACTTAAAAGCTATTAGCTTCAGGAAGAGGACCACACAGTTACTATTGTATACTTTCACACTATAAACCCACACAAATAAGACACTTGTGAGATGATGTGCCAAAGATCTAAACTTCTTTGGCCAAACCAGAGAGCTGATGTCATGGGAGCTCTGTCAATGTTCATGTTAGGCCACATCTGATATTTCACTTTAATAGAGGGGTGTTAGGGGAAGTAGTAGAAACATGGGAGAAAGAAAGGAAAGAGCTTTTGGCTGAACAAAGACTAGCTGTAGTTTTCCTTTCTCTGCTCAAATAAATCCCATAAAGGTTTTGACCTCAATAGCTACCATCATCCTTTTTTAAGTTTGCATTATTCACCCTTCCCAGATATCTCTATCCCTGGCTGGTTTATTAGCAGCCTGAATACAATTGTGAAATCAGTAAGCAGCACGGCCATTACACATACTAGAGGTGTCACTATATCGAGAGCCTCTGGGGCTCCTGCTGTGAAGTGTGGTACAGCAACTACATTTAAATAGCTTATTAAATCGCCATTATCAGGAATTATCAGCCTCATAAATGTGGGTCAGAAGAGGCCTGCTATACAAACTAAAACATTTTTATCATCTATTCCAGCATTTAATCACCAGTGGTTGGATTATCCGAATATGATGAAAGTGGCTACACCTTATTGGCTGCATTAGCTCAAAAATGTTTCATGATCCTAGGTTTAGGATGTTTCCTGTTTTATTTTGAAAGAGTTCTCACCTGGTCATGGCTGGTTTTACTTCCTGTCTCTGTGTGTTTCCCTCCAGTTTAGATTGCCTGCCCTCATTAGTTTCACCTGTCCCTCATCCCCTCATTAGATTAGGTGTATTTAGGTACTGGTTTCCTGTTCAGCTCCTGTTTGAACCTTCTATGTGTAAAGTTCTGTTTTGCCTTGCCTTCACCAAACTGGAAACTAAACAGATGTATTGAAAGTTCCTGTTGTCCTCAGTCTCCTGCACCACTCTTCGTGAAATGCTGTTTTCAAGTAAGATTTAATGGTTCAACCATACCACTGACCCTATCTAAGATAAAGTCATAGTTTACAAAATATATGGGTTTTTCAAGTCCCATAAACAGCTGAACTTGTATGCTAATGCTTTAATTCTGATAGCACCCAGGACACATTTTCAGTACTACTTGTAAAACAGGCTTTTTTTTCATGTGTTAATTAAATATAACCTTTTAACCAAAAAAGGAATGTTACGTATTAGGTTATGTGCACCTGGGCCTTGATGGTAACACTTGCATGTAAGCTAATAGGTAAGCTAGTTAGCCAGGCATGCTAACAATTGTAGAGCAGCTAAACACACTGCCTAATGCATTCCTTACACGTTTTCTCTTGTCTATTGGTTTTGGAAAGGCTAATAGATATATCACCTTCAAAACTGCTGTATTTAAATGCTGAGTATAACCACAATGGACTAATGTATAACATTGTTGCATGTTAAGTGATCCAAAGCTTACAAACCTGCTGTGCCTTGTTGTGGACGCTATAACTATACAATCACTGTGTTCAACTTCATAAGATCCTAATTGATCAATTTTGCATTGCTTTGCTTGTTCTGGATGATATTTTCTGTATAATGATTGTTGGTATTTGAACAAGACTTAAACATACTAACCCTGGGCCTTTTTTTTTTACACATCAATGGCCTTGTGCACCCCCTTGTTGTTGTTTAGCTGGAAAAGTGTTTTACATTTGGTCCTAGCCAGTCTGTTTGTTACCTATTTGACACGGCTGTATATGAACTGGATACTACAGATAGCTGACGACATAATTTGCTGAATTTCAACAAAGTGTATTGAATTAGAATTGCTGACACCACCTTTTAAGTGAGTTTCATAAAAAACTTTGTCACAGTCTCGTTTTTTTTTATGTCCTGAACTGCCTGCTCAGTAGTTATGTTCTCTATCTGCTTGACTTTGTATTAGAATCATGTTAACTAATGAGCTGGCTTTCCCCTGTTGAATCTATCCCTTGCCGGTTGTGGTATTTGTCCTTTTGCCAGCTGTTTTCTTTCCTGAGGTAAATCTCTATAAATCAATGGAAGTTAATCTGCTGAGAAGATTGTGTGCTCTCTCTGGCTATAGGGGCACTCTATCTCCATTGGTTACAGAGCATCCATCAAGTGCTCAATGAAGGAGAAGTGACATCCCGATCCCCTCTAACCCCGTCACCCCAACCCACCCCCTGTACCCCTCCTAGCACATTTTCTTCTCAGGATAATGAGGTTTGAAGATCCATTTATTCTGAAGAGATACAGCCCAATCACTTAAATAAATGTATTGTATCAGTTGTTATCTGTTAAGGTTTACACTCCATATCCGCTTGTCTTTATCTTTATGTCCTCTTGGCCTGGCTGTGAAAAGATTCTTCCTCCAGCGTTGTCTGAAGGGCAGCAGTGTCTCGCTGCATTGGAAAGTCGATCTGATTGCCCTGTCATTCATCATGTAACTTTAACTCCGGGGGGACAGTGAAGTAGAGACTTCTTCTCGGTGATATAAAGCTGGGGCTGAATGGGTGCAAATCATTTTCCTACTCATTGCAGAGAGAGATGGGTTTTGAAATTCCACAAATCTGCCCAGGAGTGTCTCCGTCTATATATCTCCTTTGGCACAATGGTTTCAATAACACCTGCAAGTACACCCCTATAATATGCAGATACCCTCATGATACTACTCTGCAGAGAATTATATTACTGCCTTTCATTTTATTTGTGAAGGAAAGACGGAAGCCACGAGAGTTGAAGGGAAAGCTGTGACCCTTGTGGGGACCAGTCATTTCAGAGTTGTTTGACAAATAGAAGAAGAGACAGAATAACAGAAAGAGGTAGTAGAAAAACAGAAGAAGATCTTACCAAAGTTTTCCTGGGTTTGAACCCCAAATGACCCTCTTGTGTTTACCCAGGTTGCCAAAATCTCCTCCCTTTTTACCTACCATGCCAGTCATTCTTCCTCTGTGTATACCTACCATTTCCAATGGGAGGAATTTTGCTGATGAGAAAAATATTTCCTTAACTTGAAATGTTGAAACAGTAAATGGCATCCATTAGACAATAAAACCCTTCATGCTGTAGGGTTATCTAAGTACAACATACAAGCTGCATTTGTCAGTTCACAATTTGTTCGTTAAGTAGTGTTGGGGGAATCATTTGCATTCATGTTGTGGTGCTCTGTAAGATCAGTATTCTGGCATGTACAGTCTCAGCTGCAGTGTTGAGCCATTTTGAAAGTAGGCCAGCAGAGACCACACGGGGAGAGGCAATCGGGGGAAACATGTCCGACAAACACAACCAACAACCAGTGACGTCGCCTTTCATCTGCCTTGATCAAACACTTAGAGAGTGGGAGGAGCCTTGAAGAAAGCGCTGGAATCAGTGAGTCACTGTTTAATAATCTGTTTCACAGGATTAATTCAAATGTTGAATTCAGGGTGCTAATAGGCCTCTGTTGCAGGGAGTAAAGATGTGCATTCCTTTTGTCAAGAGATGGGTCAAACAGGTCACTCGTGGACAGTGGTGTGTCTAAGGGGGAAAACAGGGGAATCTCTGGTCCAAGATGACTCCATCCCCTCCTATTGTTCATCATCCTGACTGTTTCCTTTCCATTTGAGAAACATGACTCAAACTCAAACATCGGCCCCAAAGGAACTCCTCACTCACAAAGAATGTCCAAATGAGCGTGAGGGTCTCAAACATCAGTGCTGCTCCCTTAAAAACAGTCTGAAATTCTCCAAAGAGGCGAAACACACAGACAAAGCTGGCTTGATTTTCAGCCAGCAGCGGAACTGGACTGGTGGGAAACTGAAATAATGTCTAATAGCAGTTTAAAGTTTCAGTTTGTGTTTTGATAATTTGAGTGGGAGCCAGAGGGTGGTTTAGTTCTAATGATCTGGAGCCATGCTCTGTGATGGGCTCCGGTATGGTTATTAGCTGGGGGGCTTATAGATGAACCCTCGGCAGCGCAAGGTTTCAGCTCCCCGCTGGCGTAAACTGTGGGTGGCAAGGAGATAAAACACAAGGCAGACTCTGCATTGTTTATGCTGCCTGTTTGTGGTCCATGCAGGGGCGTGTGTGCAGCCCTTATGTCTCTACAATGTAGCACCGGGATGCTATAACCTCCTGAGAATGAGGTGTAATAACACAGCTTTTGTTTAGCCAACACTTTAGAAAATCCAGCTTCCAATAGGTTTTTAGAAAAATAAGTCAAATGTTTAGGCCAGAAAAAAAACATTTGAATGCCACTAGATCCACATCAATAAAACCCAATGTGATGATCCACCTGGGGAGACAGGACTAAGTGTTCTCTACTGGAGGTCCATATCTAAGTATGGGGGGTCCCCCTCCACCTGTCCCCCTGCCCCGAGCACCCAGGGTCAGTCACCAGAGAGGTGGTCCCTCTTGGCTACATCCACACCACGAGCCCACCCTATCAACGCTAAACAGTGTGAAACAACACATTAACCAGCGGCCTGTCCAAATGTCAGGCAGGACGAGTGCTTGCTTTAAAAACGACCACCACACATCTCAGTTATCTAGCTGTGTGGTCTCCACATGAAGATACGTTGTCAGTTTTTGTTGTTCGGTTGTTGTTGTCACCTGCGTTAAAACATCTGAATCACTGCTTGGTGAAAACAGAGGACATTTTAGAAAAGATCTATTCTGATTGAAGACAGACAGGAGTTTGTGTTGAGGCAAGATTTAACGAAGGAACTTACAGTATGATGTTTTGAGAACATGTTGATTCTGTCCTCTGCTTTATTTTAAGGTTTATTAGAGCCAATGCTTAGCAAACACTCCAGGGGGTATACAATCAGTATTTCACAATCAGGTACTACCAGTTATTTACCAAATGTAGCATCAAGAGGACGCTGCTAATATCATAACAAACTGATAGTGGTGGCATTATGTAGAGAAGAAGCATGTAGAAGGTAGTTCTTATGTAACATTGAACCGTATAATCAAATTTCAGGCCAACTTCAGAGAAAAACTCCCTAGCTCTACATTGAGAGGACAAAGTCGGTTTTCTCAACTTGTTTTCAGGAAGTATTCATAAATTACTTTACAGATTAGGATTTTTACAAACAAAACATTATGTGTATATAGAATATTATGTATTCTAAAAGGACAATCTATCGAAGATTACATGGAAAAAAACGTAAATTACCAATCAATAATATAAACACAATAATGATATATTGATTAAGAGTCCTCTTTTGCTAAGTAAATGCTTCCTTGATGTTTTGAATGCTGCAATCTACAGAAGAACAATAATTCAACCTTTTCTTTTGCTCACCCAAAAGCCATTTGGGGGAATAAGCTAAAATGCTGTTAAAGTGGGGCGGTATAATTCTACCCTGATTTTTGCTTGTATAACTTTGTATATCTGACAGCAGAAATAGTTTCTTTGGAATTAATGCATGGGCCAAATGGGAATTAAGTGATCCTGTAAAAATAAATTCAACACAGATAGCACTTCTGGATTTAATGCACTTTGGCATTCGGCTGACACTGACTTTTAGATTGGAATACTAATACAATAGATATATGAACAATGTTACTTATTTTGGCATCTTTGGCATTACAAGTTCAATACTGCGGGGGATTAATATTGCGACACTTTGGTGGTATCGTGCAACCCAAACCCTCACTACTGTTCCACACATAAATCTCGCAGAGCGTGACTAACCCGGCGGTAACAGGAGACGGGGCCGGCGGTCCCCGCGGACCCCGTCCTGCATGTCCGTGTTTTAGAGCGCTCTGCTCTAAGAACCGGCCCCAGAACCTCCCTGGGCCCCCAGAGACCCTGTGAAACAAAACAGTGAGGTCAGCTCTGGGCTCCTATCTCACAAAGAGGATTACACTCACACACACATACACACACAAAGAGCTAAAACCACTGAGACTGAACTTGGATTAAGTCATTAAGAGTTACCATCCCCTTAAACCTCAGCCAGGGACTTTCTCTGTAAAAAGATACTCTCCT